TAACTTCCTTTTCAGGACAGGCTTGCTATAACAACAATACTTCCACACCAACCATCTACTATCTCGCATATCACACCCACGGCGGCAATATAAACGGAAGCTTGGTATAGCTTGGCAGAGGGCCCACGCGGGAGACTACCACTGCTGTACACCTTGGTCGATCGCATCTTTAGTCGTCTGTGTTGATCATGGCTAGATCATATCGCTGTCCGTCGGTGTCTTACTGGACGGCAAGCACGATAGGTATTGTGTAGCCCCCCATTCAGGATTATGACCCTAGTGAAGCCACAAGAAGATTATTCGGGAGTGACCGTAAGCATGAAAGTAGAGGCAAGGGGCTCGTTCCTCACCAGCTGCAGATTGCCTCAAAGTCGTCTCCCAAACAGGTCTCAAGAGTATCTTCTCACTCGATCTCGATGCCATAAGGAATTCATAAACAGTGTCATGTGAAAGCAGCCACTAACGGCCGAATTCGCCAGAATACCTCTTAGGGCCGGAGACACCACTATACACTATCGATGGTAAGATAGCGTGCTACAACAGCTTCCCGTTTCGCGTTGGACACGAGGTCTTTAGGTATCCATAATTGTACAGCAGATAAGCAGCGTTTTGGCGGATGACTTGCATGGAGAATACTAGGCTGTAGAGGGAAATTGTAACTTCAACAGTACCAATCACCGCTCCGCCCAGCCTTTTCCATTCTGCATGTGGAAGGACCATCGGCTTTCCCCTGTTCTATTGGTCTTGGTATCTCCAGCTCACCTGAACTACAGGACGACAAGGTGGCGAGGCTGGTGTACACATCCAAACCAAATACACAGGCCTGTAGAAGAACGGATTGAGTACAAATAGGAGGCGGTTCGCCTCTCGTTCTCAGGCCAGTCCTTACCAGAGACCAGCAGCCCTTCGCTTCTACCTCCAGTCCCGCCATCATCTCAGCCAGCTTCATTCAAGATGCAGATCAAAGACCTCCTCACCGTTCTCGCGATACCCGCCGTGGTTCTCTCAGCAGCTATCCCCCAGGATCCTACTGAGATTCCCGACTGGGAGAATGGTAGCCAGGAGGACATTGTTGGTGGATCAGCCGCAGCCGCTGGCGAATTCCCCTTCATTGTCTCCCTCCAGCGCAGCGGAAGCCACTTCTGTGGTGGAACACTTCTCAACGCCAACACTGTCCTCACTGCTGCTCACTGCGCGGTCGGACAAACAGCATCCAGCCTCACCATTCGCGCTGGCTCTTTGGTGAGAACCAATCTTTCGTTTATTTCCAACATGCTTCAAAGTCCTCCTTCAGTATCGAAGTGAACATGTGCAACTTCTCGCAAACCCGTGAGGAAAACAAATATCAAAGCTAACAAGCTGTTTTCAGAGCCGTACCTCAGGTGGCGTTACCGCCCGCGTTTCTTCCATCAAGGTCAACCCCGGCTACACCGCATCTACCTACAACGGTGACCTTGCTATCATGAAGCTTGCCACCTCTATCCCAACGAGCTCCACTATCTCGTACGCTGTGCTTCCCGCATCGGGATCTGACCCTGCCGCCGGGACTACCCTTACCGTCGCTGGCTGGTAAGTTTGACTGTCCCCCTCCGGTGCATACAAGATCCACCCATCTTCGAAGACAGTCTTCTGCACCAAGTATGTCTGTCCGCCAATGCATGGCTAACTTTCAACTCAGGGGTACTACTTCGTCAGGCGGTCAATCGCTCCCCACCAACCTCCTCAAGGTTGACGTACCTGTTGTCTCTCGCAGCTCTTGCCAGGCCTCTTACGGCACATCGGCCGTCACCACTCAGATGTTCTGCGCTGGTCTGACCCAGGGTGGTAAGGATTCTTGCCAGGGTGATTCTGGTGGCCCTATCGTCAACAAGTCCACCAAGGTCCTTGTCGGTGCTGTTTCCTGGGGTGAGGGCTGCGCTGCCCCCAACGCACCTGGTGTCTACGCCAACATTGGTCAGGCTACGCTCCGTAGCTTCGTGGCTGCCAACTTGTAAGGTCTCGACACCTACCAAAGTTAGGGGTAGGAGGGAAGCTGGAAGTAGTAGTGATGATTGGGATGGAGCATGAAGTGATGGTCAATGACGGACTTGGATAGTTTTCACAAAATGGACATCGTTCACTACACGCTTTTTTCCCTCTTGATTCAACACTCAAGGATCAACAACAACATATAAGTCTACCTTTGCCCGTATTCTTCTTAGAGTGGTAAGCGATGCAAGAAAACTCACCAGATTTCCCGCAAAATATGCTCACAATGCGTCCGGCGCAGTCAAGCCAAGGAGATGCAGGCCGGGTTCTTTGGAATGTACGCCGATAAACAATGTGTAAGCAGATGCAAGTAATTCTAGTCTCTGCTCTCTGTAGAAACCTTGGATATAGGTCTGCTACTGTACTACATTGACTCAAATATCTCTGCGTAAAACACTATTCAAAGCTTGTTTACAGACGTCGGGATAGAAATCAGCCTGAAGGAGGTGGGATATATTGAACTGTGCTGTATTACCCACCGGCTGTCTTCACAATTTGAACTGTGTCTAAGTCTCTTGTTTACTCGATTCGTGTATTCATGTCGATGTGTGAAATACACACTTTCGGTCGTTTTACTCGGAGGGAGAGAAAGGCGGGGAAATGCCTAGCCAACAACACTGAGAAGGGTCCGAGGTCGGGCCAACTGATCTAACGCTTCTTGGAACGACAGGCGTCATCACCTCTCTCCTAATCTACTTTATGCGCCTTTATCCTCGATAGCTACATCGTAAGGTCCCAAATTTGTGACACCATGGCTTCGCGACTCCTCGAACTCCCACGAGAGATCCGAGATCTTATCTATGATTATGTCCTTGTACGCGATGTTATTCCGGTCCAATGTGCAGCTGTCCTATCGGAAGTCGCAGCTAGTCGCAGCCCTGGGATTTGTAGACAGCTCGACAAGAACTACCCGTTGAGACGCATACGCGCCACGCGCCGCATTTGGTACATACCTCGCTTCGATATTGGTCTGACCTCCGCGGCGAACGATTCAGGGGAGCTGAGGAACATCCAAATGACGTACCAACTGGGAATGCCATCAGATATACTGTCTAGCCACAGGATAGAAATTCGGCTGTTGCAAACATGCCGACAGATTTACCACGAAGCTACGAAGTCCTTCTACGGAAAAAATCTGTTTAGCTTTACGGCAGACTTTAGCGTCCCGACTGCGTTCGCGTTCCTGTGCGACAGGCCTGCCACATCCTTGAAGCTTATCTCGTCAATCAAGCTTCTTTTAGTGGAGGCGAGCAATTTGAGGGGCACTATAGGAGCTCATTATCCTGTGCTTCGCAGGTCAACAGACTCGCTGGTGTTGCAATTCGCTTACAACCACTTCACGGATCTTTGTACTCTACTATCCACTTCGCGCATGGATTTGCGGCGGCTACATCTCAACATCAGCAGTTTACATCAACGATATGACGTAGCTCCTTCTTTGGTCAAAGAATGTTTGTCTTGGGAAGCAGAAAAGACCGATGGACCGCGACCATGGATCGCTTCCTGGATTGACCCTTTGACGAAGGTGGAAAGTCTTGAACACCTCAACATACATTGGGTTTTTGATCGACCACGGCTTTGTAGAGTGGCAGACACGATCTCTCATATGCGGTGCCAAATGCTTGCAGACACTCGAAGCACGCTAGCTGATCGGCCAGGCGCATCGGATGCATCCAGACTTGATTACCAACTGCACTATCGAGTCGCCATACAAGATGGCATCTCCATTAGTTATGAGGTATCTAAGAAGGACTTGGACAGTCACGGGTCGGCTAGTGATGATCTTCAATCCAGTAGAGAAGAGTTGATGACTGTGTGGCGGCGACAAGTGCGAGAAATATTCGAGGCTTCCAGATGTTTATAGCCTTACCGTTGTATACCAACCAGTCACGAACGAGGAGGGTGGATTGTACCGCCGCAGCCCAAATTGCAGGAAAGCCGTTGAATTTAGTTGCTGTCAACAACAGAGGCGCCCACAGGTAGTGTGTGCGCCTGTGTTGACAGTGAAAACAGCGTGCGATCTATCTTGCGGCTGGAAGATCTGCGTCCGATCGGAGTAAGGCGATCTGGGGTTCCGAAAAGAAACAAGGTGCAGCTTTTGCTCTTTGTGCAAGGGATTCCCTAAGCCGCCTGCAATCAGGTTAGCGGTCCCACATGGTTCAACGCTGTTGGCTAGTCTCCCTGTTCCAGAGATGCGATCCCTGCAAGCTGAGGACTCGTAGGCGGCGCTTCAACATGTATAGGAAGCACGGCATCACAGAGGGATTGCTTACTGTGTCGACCACGCCGCAAGACAATGGCCACTCATAAGTCATAGGTTCCGCGGTTTCACATTACTGCTTGCTCGGATCTGTCACCGTTGTGCTAACGCCCACATTTGTACAGCATTCTGCTTGGACGCCTTTTTCCAATGTTCAGCCTTTCAGGGTCCAGCCTTCCGCTGATCAGCCGTTCATTGTTTGAACCAGTTCCCCGCTGTTCAAATGCCTCTCTCACTTCTTCCTCCCCTTTTCCAACGGCTATGATGGCATATAACCTCGTTGATCCTGTGTCAAACAAGACACTCATCGCGTTGATAGCACTGATCACCCATTATATTGTTCACCGTGGCGAGTGGGATAACACCTTCCATATAGTCATCGGCATTTGGGTCATCCTCTTTGGAAGTGTTGCATGTTTCGAATATATAGCCGCTACGAGTACCAGGAATGTGAGCATTGCAATACAGCTCGCAGCAAGGACAGCTTCCCTCTATTTCGCTATCCTGGTGGCCAGTATACTGCTACATAGAGGGCTGTATCATCGCTTGCGGAAGGTAAGCATATGAGAATATCAGCAAAGTCTCTCTCGTTAATACTTTCAGATCCCTGGGCCTTTTTTTGCACGATTCTCAAAGTCGTACGGCATTATCGCTGGTGTTCTTTCTACCAATTTTCAATACTTCAAATGGCTTGAGTCTTTACACAAACACTATGGAGTGGACGTCATCAGAACTGGTCCTCGGGGTGCGTCTTGGAAGTACAAATTCATGTGAAACATACACTGACTTCGTATATCTATCTTGGTAGAGGTCACTATCTACTGTGCAGATGCAATTGCTTTGGTCCATGGACCCACTTCCAAGTGCAGCAAAAGTACTATTTACTCAACCACAGGTAAGTGGTGCCTGTACGAGATGCATGCGAGACGTACGCTGACTTCGTATCTCCACATCTGCAGGAGAAGTTGCAGGCCGGGCTCTTCACTTCACAACGAACAAGGACGAACACCGACAAAGGCGCAAAGTCTGGGACCGTGCGTTCAATGCTAAAGCCCTCCGCGAGTACGAGCCTCGTTTGAACCGGCATGCACTTGCTCTCATATCGAGACTCAAAGGGCAAGCCACATTTCCCTCAGTGCGAATTACAAACTGGGTAAACTTCTACAGCTTTGATGTAATGGGCGATATCGGCTTCAACCGCAGCTTTGGCATGGTGGAGTCGGGTGAAGAAGCTCATGTCATTAAGCTGTTGCACGATAGTCAGGCACCATTAAGTGTCCTTGCACATATTAGTTGGGCTGTGCGCCTCGTCGCACGAACACCAATTGGATCCCAGCCTCTCTTTGAGCACATGGACTGGAGCGCTAAAGTTCTTGAAGAGCGAAAGAAGGTAAGCACCTCTAAATCAGTACTTTTGTCTCAGTTGTATCTACTCACAGATAACAGAATACTCCTAAAGAGAAAGACGTCTTCTCTTGTTTGCTAAACCCGAATGAGGACCAGATAACCCCTGAAATGAACGCTGACTCACGACTTCTTATCATAGCTGGCAGGTAAGTGACTTGCGTAGACCTCTCACGGCCTCCGCGTAGCTTGATTCATTTCTCGATACTAACATGGGAATTAGTGATACTGTCTCTGCGACGCTATCTTACCTGTTGTATGAGTTGTGCAGGAATCTCACAGTTCAAGCCAAACTTCGCGCTGCTATTGATACGGTTAAACCGGAGAAAGCGCATCTCGACGTCGAAGATGTTGCGGAATGTGCATGTTTAGATGGGGTTATCAACGAGACTTTACGCCTACACCCTGCTACTCCATCTGGCCCTCAGCGTGAGACACCGCCCGAAGGTCTCACTCTACCCGACAGCACGTACATACCTGGCAAGGTCAACGTCTGGATTCCTATCTATAGTTTGCAACGCGATCCACGCTACTGGATGGATCCTCTTTCCTTCATGCCTGAGCGATGGACCGATGAGAGGCCCGGTGCCACAATTGAGAAACGTGCTTTTCTACCCTTCCTTACTGGACCTTGTGAGTGATATGCCTGTACAGACTGTATCTAAGACATACACTGATTTTGTACACCTAAATTCAGACAACTGCATCGGCCAGAAGCTGGCCATGATGGAGTTACGTAGTGTTACGGCTAATTTGGTTCGATCATTCGAAATCACCTTTGCGGATGGTGAAAATGGAAGCACTATCGAGAACAAGAGTCGAGACTGCTTTACGATGACTGTAGGAAAGTTGGATGTCAGACTCAAGCCACGGTATGAAGATTAGAAAGGTCATTGCTTCAGCATTCGGTTTCAACTATTTCTTTGTGCTGGCGTTCGGTGACAGTAGCTCTGGGAATGGTATATGTTTGTAGAGCTGAACGGGTCAGGTGTCATCTGCAACCAGTTCCATTTTTAGTCTCAAGGCAGTAGCTTCCTCTAACTATATCTGTCCTTAATGCAATCTTGCTTTATATCAGTACATCCCGATAAACACTGCATGCTTCAACATGTTTCACCATCTCTTCGTATACCTGCATCTGCCGCTTTCCCTCCAATGTAGGGCGGAGAAAAAGAGTGTCGAGCATTCGCGTTAAAATCTGTTGAAAAGAGGCAGCAGGACTAGAGTACTGGGGAATAGGACTGGGGATAGCGTAGTTCTCCAGTGAAGGTTAGGTCATTCAAACTAATGTACCCTTTGTCGCAGTTACATCTCCTCGCTTGACTTAAACTTTATCTAGAGAAGGGAGCCTGATTTTCGCATAACCTTAAATATCGTGATTGTCAACTGACCTTTCCATCCCATTGCGACTGACTAAACACAAAACTCTCTTGAACGACAAAACCTGAGAATAGCGACTCGCCAGCCTCTAACAGGCTTTCGGCTTTCGATATTAGCAATACCGCATACCGCGACAGCAAGTTTATTGACCATTTTTGTCACCATATATGCCGAAATATATATCCTCCGATTTTGATTACAGTTTTTTCCGCACTTTCTAGTTCTTCGTCGGATGGTGAAGGCAAAGACCAATCAGACAAACTAGTCCACAGCGCCATTCCTGCAGCAATAGTCAACAAATCTACCATGGCCAAACTCAACATTCTGCAATCATCTACCAAAATCTACAACGAACAGACACACAGTTTGTCCGCATGTTTTCGGGGTACCTTTTCCAACTTCAATCCTGACGCTGTCGAACTCAATAAGGTCGGCATTACTTACGAGTATGGGGATCATTACTTTGTCCTAGTTCGGTTACCTCATCCCCAAACCAGCGAGCTGATCTTTCAATGCGGGTTCTTGAACCGCGCATATGTTGGACCATATCTCGTCTACGAGTGGAATTCGCTTGTTAAGGAACAGATCGGGGAGTGAGGGGCCGCTGTTTATCACGACGACGAGAGGTGGGTAAGTCATGATTGTACGAGACGCACATGAGACATACACTGACTTCGTACCTCTGTGTTCGCAGGATGTTCACAGTAGTATATTGCAGTTCATGCGTTATCTTTGTGGTGAAGTAGCAAAGGGCCTTCAATATCAAGAGTTTTTGTATACGCTGAAACGGGGTACGAAGTCGGGTGCAGAGAAAGTGAAAGCACAACTCTTAGAGAGGTGTATGATAGTATCTGGAAGGGTGGAGTCAGACATCACAATGAAGGAGGAAGAAACGGGTAAAGAGGCGGACAAGTTTATGATGGAGTTCATGGTGTTTGAGACATGAGAGGGTACAGTTCTTTCAGTAGGAAGTTGACTTTACGCAGAGCTTTGGTGGGCATGACATGGTGTAATCATGGAACGGTAAACTGAATGCAAAGACTCTGATACGGGTATTAAGAATCTAGTATGTTCAAGAAGGGTGACGTATTCTGAGCCACCGCTATTTTACTCTGGCTTTTCTTTGCCTCCCATTCATTTGCTCTATCTGTAGCTTGAGCTAAAGAGTAATAGTGGTAGCAGTATAGTGAAAGCCTGTGGTTTAATCGTCGTCCGCGTAGATAGCGCTTACAGAAATGTCACATGCCATGGAATTCCACTCTCGCCTCTAGATATATTCAGGTATTATCGTGCCTTTGGTGAGCCAAACTACTAACAAATTCTGGAATCAACAAAACAACCGAGATAATTCTACCTGTCTTGTATCTTACCATGGACACTAGATCATATCGAAAATCACCTGAACTCAAACCCCCTAAAGAGCTGCGTCGCTGGAACTATGATGAGGAAAATAGGCTCCTCTACCTTATCAAAGTAGAAGAGAAAACTTACAAAGAAGTAGCAACCAGTTTGAACCGTTCCATACAATCTATACAACACCGCTATTCAATTATCCGACAGAGGGACGAAAGCGCTTCCATATCCTGGACTACCGAACTCGATTCCGCAATAATTGATGGCAGACGCCGTGGGCTGACTCCCAATGAAATCGCCCAGGAGATCAATATACCGGAAAAAGCCATTCAATCTCGATGGCAAGCCCTCCGGGCAGCGAAGAAAGTCCCCGAAGATGTCCTTGACCTTCGGCGGCGCAAACCGCTTCGTGATTTTACTCCCCAGGAAGACGAAACCATCTTAAATCTATATGTAGAAGGGCATGATGATAAGGAGATAGCGGTACTTGCGGATATCGAAGGGAAGAGTCAGACGGAGATTATGATAAGAAGACGGAAGCTGGTAGCTGAGAGTTCACCGATATATAGAAGATTGATTGAAGAACAGCTGCATCAAACGGGGAAGGAGCATCATAATAATAAGAAGAAGAAGAAAGAAAAGATAGATACACTAGAATTGGCGGTGAACGGACAGAAGTATGGATGGATGAATGAAGTAAACAAGGACGACGGTCCGGCATTGGGCTAAGTAATTTTATACAGGCTGCAATCTAAGTAGCTCTTGAGATAATTGGCGCAAAATCACAGACGCTCGCGCTATTGTTCCCGATCGGAGTTTTGACTCCACCATGGAGCGTCGCTTTCACCATTACTCAATAACTGCCTTAGGCTCCGCCTAACCCTTTACTCTTGCTACTACCACCCTTGATCTCATCATCAGCGTCCCGCGGGAATTGCACGCCCATCGCCTTCATCATGTTGCCTGCCGGGCCTGCCATCCCAGCTTGGCCTTTGAAAGCCTTTAACATGTTATCGGCGAGGTTGTAGTCTTCGTCCAAGAGTTCATCGTCTTCATCCTCCTCATCCTCTTCAGCAACGTCCTGGAGCTTTCCTTTGCCTTTCCCATTACTATCAGATAGAAGCCCTGTTCCTGGTTTGTGGTCGGACTTGGAGTTGACGTTCAGTGCCCCGTGGCTGAAGAGCTCAGCTTCCATCATCTCAGTGAGTTTTTGGATCTCCTCGTCTTCTTCCTTCTCAGCGTCTTGTTCGAGAGCTAACGCGCGAGCTTCATCAGTGAGGATGGCTTTCTCAGCTGCGGGCAACATCATAAACTTTTCGAAAGCTTGCTCGTATTCCGCGTACTCCGCGTCAGCCTCTGCATCCTCCTCGTCATCTGTGCTGCCATCATCTTCGCCATTACTGGTCTTCGCTTTGCCTTTGCCTTTGCTCTTCGTATCGTTCTCGGCTGGAGAGTCACTATCTTCAGGATCCTCCCATCCTCTGTCGCCAGCGTCCGAATCGTTGTCCACATCCATGGGGTCCAGACCTCCATCGGCACCCTCCGCACCAGCTTCATTTTCAGCCAGGAAGTCGTTGAAACGTGCAACCATCTTTTTCAAATTCTCCTCCGCATTCTTATCGCCAAACGCGCCTTTTGCGCCACTTCCTTTACCTTCTAGCTCTTTCTCAAACTCCGAGAAGTCAATATTGAGCCATGCCTCATCGTCCTCACGTTTGGGCCAACTAGCAATTTCAATGTCAGTGGGAAGTGTGTCGTCACCATTCTCCAGATCTTCTAAAAGAAGCGCAATCTCGCGCGTTGGTTTACGAGAGGCGTACAAGGAGTGTGACAGGAGCATTTGCATGCCTGCTGCGATTTTGATCCCGATTTCTGCTTTCTCAATTGGTTTACCAGATTTAGCGAGCTGCTCTAGTGCTGTATCCCATGGCGCCTGGGGCTCCCAGTGCTGGCCTAGAAGCTGAGCATAAAGGACTTTGGTAAAGCGAACGCTGACGTCGACAAAATCTTCCGGCGGGAATGTAAGAGGAACTTTGGACTTTTCGGGTTGTATAAGCCGGATGGAGATGGGATCTCGGAGATAAAAGGCTTCGACCACCGGTGCGATATAGGATGGATTGGTATGCAAGATATGCGCGACCTTCCTTGGTAGTGGAAGTGTCGCATGGTGCTGGTTTTCAGATATCGCAGCGGGATATCCAGCTAAGCGATGAAAAGCTTCTTTCTCTACTTTGCCGTACTGCTGTGGACGTGCTGGTGTCTCATCAATAATCTGTAAAGCCTGCACTTGCGTCAAAGGGGCAGGGTCTTCATCCTTCCCCAATGGAATTATCAGTAGGCGATGACTATTAATCCAGACTCTGTTCTCGGCAACCTCAGGGTTCAACCATTTTGGTAGCGCGTTGGCAGCCTCGATTAGAAGAAACTCTCCATCGCTGTCATAAATGCGGATCCATGCATCCTTGAACTCTTTGCTTAACTCACGCAGGAAGTAGACTATAAGCCATTCGTCTGCGACGCTATCGCCGTAATTAGATCGTCCTTTTAACAGCCACTGATGTTCTTCTCGGACTAGGTCAAGCGCAAGAGAATCACGCTGCCATATGTACTCCTTCAGGAACCTCTTTTCCAAGACGCTCAGGGCGCGTTGGAAGGCTTGTAATCTTTCCCTTGTCTGGATGTCCGAGAGCCTAGAGTCGATGATGAAGACCGTGTATTCCACGACATCATCGGGCAATTTCTTAGGAAAGCCATCGAAACCTTCCCCAAACCATTTGAGGTCATCCTGAGGGCCGTCCATTGTATTCGGCCAGGCGTTTGTGAAGGTAGTCTCGATCCGATGGCCCGAGAACTTAGGTCTGTACGCTGGCTGTTGTCCAAGGAGTGATATAGATCTACCTCAAGCGGAAAAGATGAAGCCTACAATGAGTTTTCTGGTGTAGGCGGCGCCGACGTAACGTGACATACGGGGAAGACACGCTTTTCGGCTTCTTGCCTACATGGGCTAGCGGCGGGCTGCATCCCAGTTGTGGTCCGAGCGTCCCCAAACAAACAACATCCATACTATCATGAGGTGGAACATGAGGCACTCGCACGACTGAGGTGCGCCCCAAAGGACCTTTCTATTTCTCTCACTCATGCTTTGCTAGAGT